GAAAAGTTGTGCAGTTCCTTCAGCAAATGAAGCTCACCAACTTACAATAGGCTAAATTACCTTACAACATGTTTTCAGTAGTCTATGTTGAAGTTCTTAGCACAGGCTAACTTATCATATCATATACGTATCACAGTTCTCATTGATCTACAAAAATACTGAAAAAAACCTTTTTGATATTTCACACTTAATATAATACCCGGTAATCTACTTCAACCTCCTATTGTTTACAACGACACATGATGCACCACCAGCTGTTGAGTATCAGCTACACGGTACACGTGTTTTTCGAATCGTTTTCAGTTAAAAAACTGTTGTATTACATTAATATCCTATCCTAATTGACTTGAATAAATACTACGATACCTTATTTCTGAATATTTTCATTAAAATTCATCCAAATCATTTTCCTTGTCATCGTCTGCAGCACCAAACAGCTTCTCCCAGTCCTCTCCTTGAACAGGGCTAGAGGGTAAATGTGTTTTTCGAATCGTTTGCAGTTAAAAACTGTTATCACACGATATATTTTACCTAAACTGCGCCTGAATGAATATATTCTCGAAATAAATAGTAGTTTTGCTGAAACGTGATGTATTTTAATGTAAAATAGGATAAAATACATGACAAAAACAAAAGATTTTACCTAAGCTTCCGATGTTCAAGAGAAGTTACTGTTTTTTAATAGTTTTGGTTAAAATACTGTTATATTACAATGGTATTCTATTCATACTGTGCTTGATATAATGCATTCACGGAAATGTAATATTTTTGCTGAAATGACGACGTTTTACAGTGGAAAGTGGATAAATCGGACGAAAACAATGACTTTCGCTTTCTTTCGTTCAAAAGCTGTTACCGTAATCGCCTCTGATTGGTTTTCAGTTAAAAACTGTTGTATTACAATAATATTCTATCCTAATTGACTTGAATAAATACTACGATACCATATTTCTGAATATTTTCATTAAAATTCATCCAAATATTTTCTGTCATCGTCTGCAGCACCAAACAGCCCCAGTCCTCTCCTTGAACAGGGCTAGAGGGTACGGTTTTTCAATCGTTTTCAGTTAAAAACTGTTACATCACACGATATTTTACCTAAACTGCCCTGAATGAATATATTCTTGGAAATAAATAGTAATTTCTGAAACGTGATGTAGTTCAATGTAAAATAGGATAAAATACATGATGAAAACAAAAGACTTTACCTAAGCTTCCGATGTTCTTGAGATGTTATTCGTTTTTAGTAGTTTTCGGTTAAAATACTGTTATATTACAATGGTATTCTATTCATACTGTGCTTGATATAATACATTCATGGAAATGTAATATTTTGCTGAAATTACGACGATACAGTGGAAAGTGGGATAAAATCGTGACGAAAACAATGACTTTGAAATATAATGCAATTTAACCCCTAAATCGGTTAATTCGGACAATCGGCTAAAACGGACACCCTTCCCCCCCTATTAGTCCGAATTAATGAGGGTCGACTGTATATACATATATGTTGCTAATTATAATGTGCATCTTATGACCTGGGAAATCTGGTTCTCTGTCTGTCCTGTAGTGTTGACTCCACTTGATCCCTGGCACACAGCCTCAGATTTATTGTATTTATTTTCCATGGCAAGCCGTTAGTTTCTGAGGGAGCTAAAGCTTTAAAGGAATACTGTATTAATTCCCATGTACAGTAATGTAAAAAAAAAGATAACGCTGATTAATTTGCAATAGTTCAAAGTGTGATATCCATTTGTTATCATATATCAAAATATGCAGTTTGAAACCATTTTCATGATAACTCATAACAGATAACCTCTAATCATTATATATACAGTACAGTATATCATTGTACCATGTCAATCTGAATGTTGTTGAAGTTTGTAGAAGTCTCACATACCCAAACCAAATTTAACCTGAGCATAGGCTGCATATTTTAAGATTAATTATATACTTGTTTAACCTAGGTTTAAAAAATGCAATAATTGTACTACAGTGTTTAATTTTATATTTTTTTTTATTTAAAACATATCAGTATAAAGCTGACCATTACTGCACATACTCTCCAATCATGCCATGCACAATCACAATTACTCCAATTTAAATAGCCAAGTCATCTTTTCTTGAATCCATATTTCTTCCTTTCATAGAACAAATCTGTCTTTGATGATCCCAAGTTTACGATCTTTGGGCATCCATCACGGTCTTTCTCCAAAACTGTACATTCTTTGCAGTAATAAGCATCTGACACACCTGTGAAAAGAAATAAATATGATTAACTTTTGTTACATTTGTTGAAAAGGAAAATATTAAGTCAATTTCTTTCCATTCAGTATAACAACCATCAGTAGCAATCATAAAGTACTGAATTCATGCAAGTAATACAGTATTAGTATCAGCTAATGAATTTGTAACACTCGCCACATAATTAATTAGACAATAATTAAAAAAAATACAAACATTATACTGCAGATGTTTTATGAGCTAGCCATGGTTAAATATATTATTTTGTAATTGGTTGTTGGGAGATTTAATTTCAAATAGAGGCAGGGTATTTTGGAAATCCATTATGTTTCACAATTCTAGGGGTGTATTCCTGAGACATACATAAGGATAACTGACTCTATGACCATAATGTCAAAACCCAAAGATAAGTGCAAGAAGAAGGCAGCACAGATTATTTATTAACTGACAAATACAGTACAGTATACCATATATTGCAGCTTATAAGTCAACCTCAATTATTTCAACTGAAATTGTTGATCTGAGCCTATACCTGGCAGGTAAGTCGACCCCTAAACTGCAATTTGAAAGCTACATCCTCGGTATCAGCTAAACTTGCCAACATTTACTTTTTAACAGTTCTGCCATTTGTTTTTTTTAGGAGGGCAACTGTTATTGAGCTTATTCTAACGTTAGTGTTCTCACCGAATTTAAGTCACTCTGTACTGTTGCAACTTAATTTCACTATCACAACAATTTTTTAATTGCAGCATTTTTCCAGAAGGCTTCAGTAACAGTTACCCTTCTGGAAAAAATGCTAGTTAGGTAAACCATGTTTGTGAGTGCTGGAAATAAGGTTGTAACCCAGTACCGAGTGACTGATACCTATTGGTAAGTTAATGTTATAACCATAATGTACTTAAAAGTTGAAGTTTTATACATATTGTATAAGACGACCCTTTAGTTTGGGGAAAAAATAAATAAAATCAGAAGTCGACTTATAGGCTGCAGTATATGGTACGAATGTCATGGAAAATACCAGTTACACAAAGAAACAGGAGTACAGTACTATAACTCCACGATCACCTACCAGTGCGGTACTGTACTGTAGTTGTTTACATCACAAACACAACTGAACATGGTGCAATTGTTTCATCAAACATGCGTATATTTTTATAACTAATTATTACTATTTGTCATTATTGTTGTAAAGTAAAACACTAATAAATAACCTTTAATATTACAAACATTACAATTATTGTATTTATATGTAATTTGTGCGCTCTGAAAACTTAAGTCCTTGTAACAGTATTTTGTCAACTATAAAAGTGCATGATTTTCTAAATAAATACAGTATATCTTGTGAAACTTCATATTGAATCACCATGAAATAATTTGTTTAATCAGCTAGATAATTTTATTTTCCACTGGTCTACTGTAGGTAACTAAACACCTTCCCAATGTAGCTATTGTAGTGTGCAGCACATTGTATATTTAATAACGTATAGCTAGCTATACAGTATATACATTAAGTAAAATACATAGCTCTTACAGTGATTATTGGCCAAAATAGATAATGTAGATGTATGAGTACTGCTCATTATACCTAAAGTATACTTTTAATGTATGTACAATGAAAAATAACCTGACAGAAGGTAAACATTTAAAAACACACTAAACCCCAATCAGAGGTTTTTATGTTACAATATAACTTCCTAGGGAGGAGGCTCCACTCCCTGAACTCCCCACCGCCATATTAAACAGAAAGCAACTTTACTGCGCCATGGTGTAAATTTTACTGTTTTAGTGGACGTGAGAGTATGCTCGGATCGAGCAGGTTGGATGTCAACAAAGTACAGATGGTAAAATTTTAGTTTTGGTCATCCCTGTATTTAGATATTCAAACTATTTGATTCCCGGCAGATATGAAGGTCCATATCGTTCACAACACATCAAAAACCATTGGAAAAACATAGTGTGGATATCTAACCTAACCTAATTTCTAAGATCCCCCAGATGATGGAAACTAAAATAATACCGTACAAACTACAACACATGCGGACTTAAAAGACTTTTTGTAGTAGTATTTATGGCAAGTTATTAATTGATTCACATACAAAGCATGTAAAGACATAATTTTAGTGACATGTGATCATTTTTTCACCGTGTTTTGCCCTGCAATTCCCCTCATCCTTTATGCCCTGTCCACTACAGGTGATTTATGATTGTAGATTGAAAAATATAAAAAAGTATCGGATATTTTGCCGTGTCCTCTAACGCTGTTTTACCATCAGTGCACTCTCATTAGCTAAGTACTTTCTGTTTAATATGATGAGGGTGGGGGTTGAGGTTAGGTAGGTTTCTTTGGTTGGTTAGGTCAGGTTCTAGTAAATGTCGCCTCTTTTATAATATGTGGGAAAAATGAACAAAATCGAACTCCTGGCTAGGTACGTTTATAGCTACACAATAATCGACTCACGGCAAATTAAATGCCAAATGCCGCCAGGCCAGACTTACGGTCACATATCTTTCTTGCAAAGTTTGTTGGTAATGGACGATTGGCCAATCAGAGCACACTCACAGTAAAATAGTGTTAGTAGGAACTTAGCGGTCACGGCAAAATATCCACTGCTGCATATAAAAAATATATAAATTAAAATAAAAAGTTGTCACCTCTTTTAAAATACTTAGTATAATGATAAGAATGTGATAAAATAATGAAATCAAACAACTCCTGGTGGTAGTGCTGTTCTCAGAAATTATAAAAAGTGATCATGTTTTCATTACTTACTATCATCCAAAGAACATGTAGAAAAAATGAACGAAATCGAACAACTCCTGGTCTTAGCCATCTGCTCACCATTACCAATATTTTATCCATCTTACAAATATCACTGAAAATATGGGATTTGAGTTGATCTTCAAGTTTGTTTGATAAAGGTATAAACAGCTTTTATTTGCACATAAAAGTCGATAATCACGTATAGCAGCGCAAATGGCCTCTAGTATAATCGATAGTACACTCCAAGAGAGCACCCACCTGGCCCTCCACAGATGACACACCGACCCTGGTAAGAGCCGTAGTTGCACTCGTCACATATCCTCACCAGAGTACAGGGCCTCACGTAAGAGTCACAGATCACACACTTGCCGTCGCATTTCTCACACAGACGTCCGATAGCAACTCCTGGCTGCTTTCTACAGAAGATAAGATCAGGATGATGTTTCGCCATAGTATTTTTGTTGCTGTTGAGCGGTTAATTAACGTTTATTTTGACCGGCGAGTGTTATTGCTCCCGGCATGTAGCGTCCTCGCGGAACGTTTGTTGTGGTGTGAGCAGCGTCTGCCGTCAGTGCCGCTGATCCACACCAGCCGGGCGCGGGGCCCAGCGCGCGCACACCCGCCACACTTAAATTTAGCCAAGTAGACCAGCAATGTTTTAGAACTTTTATTATTTTTTTTGTTATTATTAGTATTAGTAGTAGTAGTACTGTATTTGATAAACATCATTATATGAATTAGGCGAGAATTTTAGAATTAATATTTGTTAAACAATTAAAACGAGAAATGAAAATAACGAAAGTACTGTAACATTCATTTTATAAGCAATTAGGTATTATGATATTCCATTCAGTTTTATCATAATGCTTATGTAAGTTTATGGAATTAGTATGTTACCAATGCTTTATTGTGAGATGTATTTTAATGGCTACTTTTTTTTTTTTTAACACATACACCAGTGCCTTAACATGGGTTCATTTAGGGCAGTGGCCCCAACTCTTGTGTATACTCAGGACTACATGTATTGTAAATGAAGTGGAGGGCACCAAAACTTTGGATCTATATTTGCAGTTTACCACTTACATAGTTTTTACTCTCCCTCTGGACCCGGTCTGGTGTAAATGACAGACTCGGGACAAACGCGAAATTCCTCTCTCTCAAATTATAAAGTTGTATCAAGTTATTAAATATATAATTAATTTCATGCTTACAAAAAATCCCTAATAATTCACAATTTTCTTATAAACCCTTGCGAGCTCCATAATATGGCTGCGAAATGCAGATTAGGGACCACTGATTGAGGTATAGGCTTGACTATAGTCAATGAAAGTAACCTCCATATTTTTAAATACCAATATTATATGTATCATTATATATTAAATGAGAGAAAATATTGAATATTCAGAGGAACGTAACAAAGATTTTTTAATATACTGTAATTGTGAATTGCGGATACCATAAATAGAACTTGGCATCAGTGAAGTCAACTCGGCATCAAAAGGCCGTTACAAATTAAATGACCACATAAAATTAGACGGCAAATGTAGTGAAATCAAGAAGAGAAAACTCGCGTTTTCAGTCTGTATAACAAGCAAAATTAGTAACAGTTGCCTCTGATATGTTATTGATGCTATATTACTACTTTACTTAATTCAAATTTACTTGGTAATTGTATGTATTTCATTTTTTACATGAGAGTTGTATTAATATTGTAAGCTTGTTGAAGATGTATCAAACTTAGATTTTTAGTGCTGTACAGAATAAAATTATGTGCTTAAAGATTTATGTAGTCTCGTTCAAGATTCTTCGAACACAGCTGGCAACTTAAGCCGTTTTGTGTACTATAGTACGTAGTATAATATAATACGAAACAACACAGCCCAACCATTAATTAAGCAACGGAGAACTAAGTAACCAATCACCGATCACTTACATTCATTCATAATATTTACCACGTACTAAAGTAAACAAACGGCCTTGAGTTTCCAGCTGTCTCCAACAGTGTTTGAAGACTCTTTAACGAGACTTAAATAAATACTGTAATTGTTAGTGCACAGGAACACAATTTACCAATATTTGAAAATGTCTTGTTTTAGCCTTTTTACACTAAAATTAACAGAATTTTGATGGTGCAATATTTTGTTCAAGGCGTTCATGAAAGTTTGGCAGTTTCTTAAAGTTTATCCTATTGCCTTGGTCCTTCTTTCTCATTCTTTTATTGCAATTTTAAAGGGGGATTCAGTAAGATTATATTGCTATGAAAATACTTATTTCCATTTTTCGAAAGTTACTGAACATGTAGACCCAAAACGTAATTGTAATAAGCAATCAAGACGTAGGTACGTTACTGTAGGTGCACGACTTACTGGTGTTGTAATCTACTTGGGGCCAATATTGTAGATACGTGAGAAAGATAAAGGTGCTAGGCTGATAATAACGCGATCAGCACACAATTGTTAAAAGGTTGTTCCTAGCGGTGATGCCAGATGGCTAAGAGTGCGAGTGTCAGTTTTGTAACGTCAGTGCCATCTTGAGGGTCCCCACCGTGCTCCACACTGGGCATTCTGATATACCTGTCGTTGGTGTCCCACTCTTTCATGTCAGAGGATGATCAACTGTTTGATTGTGACTTCGAGGGTCTGATTCTACCCTGTTTCTTCACTATTTTTGAACTCTGTAATACAATATCTCGTTTAACTTGTAATACGGGATTACAAGATTATATGTGGTTGTTATTTATCATTAGTTAACTCTGTAATGGTTAAAAGGTTAATGGTTTTTAATTATATGTGTTCCTAATTACTTGCCTGTGGGTTTTTTTGTGGAATATTCACTGTTCATCTTAAGGCGATAGAAACAGGTAGTGTTTTGTTTAAATTGTGGTTCAACTCTTTCATATGTTATGACTTCTAAATATTATTAAAACATTGATTTTTCCTATATTCAGTAGCAGGTTTAACATCAATTCTCGGAAATGTAATTTTTTTTATTTCATTGAAAGGAACGCAATGCCAGTAGTCAGTAGCACTATTGCGCAGTGTTTTTGCTTTGTTGTGGACAATTCTGACACGCCGGGAAATATTGCTTAAATAAAAAATATTTTGAGAATGCAAACATTATGGAAATGTAGAGGTATTGCACACAATATTGTGGGGTACGGGATATTGGTTCACACTCAGGATGGGATGGAGAAAGGAAACTCACAATGTGCTCTCTGTATACATATTGTATTGGATGTACAATGCAACTTGGTGCTGGGAAGGCAGCATGGTTACAAGCGTGATGTAGAGAGAGCTGGTTGGTGAGGGTGCTCAGAGGACCAGCATGGGTCGCCGGCGGGAGCGAGGGCCGCCAGGCAGGAGCGGAGGTGTTGCTTGCTGGTGGCTGTAGGTAGTAAGAGGGCGGTCACGGCGGTGTTGAGGTCTTATAAGGCGGGGGTAGGCGTGGGTTGATAGTTGACCCCTACTCCGTCAGGCGGCGCTGGAGGCGTAGGCTGGGGAATTCGAAAAGAGTCGGCTACTCAGCGACAAACGGCGTTTGTAGGGGAGGAATCCACTACAATATCAAATTAATAATTTCCTATGATCAATGATCAAATAAATTAGTATAACTATGGGCATTGATAATAATGACATCTTCACAGCACAGGAGCTCCAGATGTAGCTATACATTACAAGATGAACCTCCGGTCCTCCTTTTTGTAGAACCCGACATGTTTCCCAGTTGGCCTCCTGACACAGACTGACGAATATTGCGCAACATTTAGTGTAGTGTATGTGGCGCAGTAGTTAAAGTTCTCTTTCTTATGTGTCAATTTTCTCTTTCTTAGGACCACATACACGCGTACAGTCTCGTTCAAGATTCTTCGAACACTGCTGGAGACAGCTTTGCCAGCTGTCTCCAGCGATTCGAGCCATTGTTTACTGTAGTACGTAGCATAATATACAGTAAAACCTTGATTAACCGACCCTCGATTAACTGACTTTCGGATTAACCGTCAATCCCGAACCCCTAAATTTTTACACGGGATTAGCCGCAGGCAGGTCACTGACCCACATCAGGGCCTGGGGGCGATAATGTAATAATAATAATAATAATAATAATAATAATAATAATAATAATAATAATAATAATAATAATAATAAAGAACCATAAAGAAATGCAAAATGAAAAAAAAAAAACAAGAGTGAGAAACAATGTACCTGTATGTATGTTGTGTTGTCATAGTAAGAGAAACAATTGAGACCCTGCAATTGTGTGTAAATGAGGAAGAAAGTCAGATCAACAACATGTTCTTTGACTTTTCCATTTTTTATTCACGGTTTCTGTGCTGGTTCATATTTATTAACTAAAGTGGTTAATTTTTTAAAGCAAATTCTATTGAAATATGAATGGCAAATGAACAAAAATTAATAAAGGGACTTAAATGAGGAAGGTTAGGGAAAGGTACTTTGAAAATGTATGTTTTATTTCCGTAGACTTTATGTACTATTAACGACCTTTTGGATTATCCGTCGGCCCCTTCCCCCCATATGTGGTCGGTTAATCGAGGTTTTACTGTAATATGAAATAACGAAGCCCAACCATTAATTAAGCAACGGGGAACTAGGTGACCAATCATCGATCACTTTTACATTTATTCATAATTTTTTACTATCTACTACAGTAAACAAACGGCCTTGAGTTGCCAGCTGTTTCCAGCGGTGACCAGATAAAACCCCAACGGACAAAACCCCAGTCTCATATATAAAATAAAACACCTTTATGTTTAGGTTAGGTTAGGTTAGTGTTGACAAATGACAACCCCGTTGAAGTTTTGTCATGGAACCGTCTCCAGCAGTGTTCGAAGAATCTTGAACGAGACTGTATTGTACATAAAGGAAATCTCGCACTCAGGATGGAGGTGAGAAAGGAAACTCACAATAGCGTTTCTTCATTATATTATATATACAGTGCAGTAAGATGTTGGGGAGTTGGTGTGTTGTGGAGTTCTTGTCAGTTTGAGAGCTTGGAGTAGAATGTCCTTCTCGGTGAGACAGAAAAGGTATTAATGCGATTCTGGCTACTGAAGGTGCGAGATGAAAGGCGCCGCTGGTTGGCTGAAGCGAAGGTGGCAGCTGGCTAATCAACCAGCGTCACCGGGGCAGAAGCTCTGTCTGGAATTCTGCTGCTGATTGGCTGAGGATGGCAAGTGGCCAATCAGCGAGCGCTTCAGGAGCGGAGGCTGTGTTATGGAACTCACTGCTGATTGGCTGAGGAGAGGACAGCGGAGCGGTTGTAGTGAGAGTGTAGTGGACTTCTCCCCTACAACTGCGTATCCGCATTCCAATGTCACCGTATCCTAGCAACCGAACCAAAAGACCGGCGACTTTCTCGGGTTTTCCCAACATGACTCATAGAGGACTCGCGGCTGCTGGGTATATAAGCTCTGTCTCTCCATTGAGATTCATTCTAGCCTCTCTTCTACAACACGCAACACCTCCTCCTCCGCGCTGCCTGGCAGCCCTCGCTTCTCCTCGCCTGCCTGGCGGTCCTCGCTCCGCCAGCGAGCATGGCGACCCACCAGCTGTCCTTCTCTGAGCTTCCTCACCAACCAGCTTTCTCATTCTGGTCTCTCTTCTTGAACAAGCAACACCTCCTCCAGTAAGCTCCACGCTGTCAGCATTCATTCAACCAGGAGGCCAGCAACAGGCAACATCTTCTCTAACGAAGTTCCTGCACATTTACCTCCTTCAACACGCTACTCACCGAACGTCTCTACTGAGCAGCTCCTCACCACACGGCACCTCCAGCACCAGACTGTCTATCATATAACTTATATTATACAAGAAAACCACCTTAGAGTTTCCATCCATCCTGAGTGCTAGACAACGTTATAACACGAATTCCTACAAGAGTAAGCCACTACAATATAATCATGATTACACCAACTACTCAATATTATTGAGATCCCGTTAATAAAAATACAGTAAAATCCTTGTTTTACTTCTTCAATCCATTGTGCAAACCCTCAGCATCGCCCACACAAGAGGAACTTTCACTGGGGCATTTAGGCATGATTGCATAACACATGAAGTCAGAAATAATAAAATAAAACAGTCAGAGAGAGCCGCGCAGAGCCCTCTCGTGGCAAGAAATTGCATCACGCCACCACCCGTAAATTCAGAACAGCTCTGCCAATCCTCTCCTGATCGTCAGATCTCTGAGGTATCAGTGAAACTTGTTGGGTATTTCCCCTATGTAATCGACTGTTATTGGGACGTCAGTTTTTGGGGTATAATTGTAATCCAAAACTTTCCCATGCCATTATTGATGTCAAAATTTACCTTTGCCTTGTTTACAGACTGTAATTATGCCATTTCGAGCATAAAAGAGCCACATTGTTTAACATCCATCTTGAATGGAAAATGAACAAAATCAAAAGACACGGTAACCAAATCAGGAAATCTATCATTGAAATTTGCTGCCATTTTCTGTCTGCATCTGTGGGAAGTGGCGTGAACTAGGCTGAGAACAGCTCTATGGAAGGAGTGTGGAACTTCTGTTGCAAAATGTGCCATCAGGACAAACCTGACCTGACATAAGGAGAGTAACTGGATTAATCCCTTGACCATTTATAATCCTTACTTAACAAGACAGCACCTGTTGGCCACGTCCTTCAGTCCTTGACACCTGGACTAAAAAAATAAATCACAAGTGGCCACAGCAAGACCCAGGTGACTCCAGCGACCCTAGTAGCTCTAAACAACCCCATCGACCCCATTACCTCTATGCTAGCCCTTATGATGCATCTTGCGCGACCGTGTTTGGGAACCTTTGGTCAAAGCCCCGTTTACATGATGCGTGAAATCGTGGGTGATGTCCTTGCAACACCAGATCTGTGCTACAGGGGACAAAAGCAGGGGCATCCTGCGACCCAGGGATGTTGGATAAATGTTGCATGTGGGCGATGCGTCCGCATCACACCCCTCAGTATGTTTCTGTCTGTCGAGGAAGGCGGTTGTCCTCGAGTGTCAGCTTGATACTTGAAGTAAAGTAAAGTATTTCAAATATTATAAGTAACCAAGATTTTTCAAATGAGATTAAATACATAGGAATATTATGTTTTTTTTTTGTAGGCTGTACAGTTTCCTTGAGCAGGCGGTAAACTGATAAGTAGTGAAAAAATACCAATTAAATAAAAATATGTATTCATTATACTGTATGTAAAAGCATCAGACATATCATTACTTTAACAATTTCGACGTTTTGCTCATTAGCAGTGATTTCTCTTTAACGAAAGAAAAAAAAAACATGCAACAGAACAAAATACAATACAGTACCTGTATGTGATTTCCTCAATAAGTAATGAAACAAACTTAGCTGGACAATATCTCATAACAATACTGTACTGTATATTTATAGCTCCTTTACCAGGTTTTAGGGTCTTTTCTTCATGATGGCATTTGAAGATATTATGCAGTAAATACAGACCATAAGCATTTAAATAGGCTAAGCAATCTAATTGAAAACAGCTGTAAATTTTACACTATTATACTCAAGTTTAAAGTAAGCACAACCACTTATAATGTTGTTCATACATCATTTAATTGGAAGAACAGCACAGGGCAGTATTTTTTGCATAACGTTAGTTATACTAGTTCAAAATTGTACTGTTATATACATACCATACCATAATTTCTTCTCATGTTGTTGGTACAGGGCGTCCTCTCTTTACGTCGGGGTTACGTTCCTGAAAACGCGACATTATATTGAAACAACGTTAAACGGATCAATTTTCCCCATAAAACAAGTGAAATACTGGAGTTACGTTCCCCAGCCTCCCTTTGCCCCATGAAAAAAGTTACAAATACAGAAAATCATTGCCATTTCTAAAGAAAATATTACTGTATAGAACTACAGTACTAAGTTTGTATTGGTACTCACCGATGGGGGGGAGGTGGTAGATCAGATGAGTGGTGGGTAATGGAGCGAAGGAGGAGGGTGGGAGTGGAGGAGGAGGGTGGTGAGTCACTGAGATTCTCTTGGCTGCCTCCTCCTCCTTTTCTGACTGGGGTTCCTCCGCCGCTGCTTGCTCCTCCTCCGTTGTTGGAGGGAATGTCTCGGCAGCAACGATATCTGAACTGGCAGCTTCACCAGTCATCTTTATGTTGTGGAAGTTATACCGACACTTAAATCGTTAGAAACCAGCCTCGGCTGGCCATAAAGGTCTCTTCCTTCGATCCTTCACCCTCTGTTTCCTTCATGTCGTCAAACAAGGATCTGGCCTTATGCTGGATAACCGTAAAGCTCACAAGGGCATTGCGTTGATTCTGGTCCTCCATCCACATTGCCAGCATCTTTTCCACCTTCTCTATCACAGTGCTTCTAGTATGAGTCGTCTAAAACACTCAGAGAAGAACCACCAACCTTAATCTTGTCAGCGTTGGTCCGGATAGTACACACTGTTGTGGGGGTTAGACCCAGCACAGTGGCTATGTCCACAGTATGTTCCCCTTTTTCAAATAGGGTTAATACATCCATTTTTGTAGCAATAGTATAATGGTCTTATGTTGCCTCTTCATTACACTGGCATCAGTAGCACTTGATGGGCGCTTGGAAACCATTTCTAATGGTTAGAGTACAGTTTTAGAGCAAAAGCACTTAACCACACACGAATGATGTGAAGTCGTAATAGAGACTGGCTTGGCGTCGTACGGGGATGCTGTGACGTTCCGCTAGTGAGGGCGCACCGAGTCCGAGAGGCGTAGTGGGGCCAGACAAAAGGGTGATGTGCCATAGAAAGTAATCCGTGACGGCGCAAAACAGCGTAGTATTGGACCACCGGGATGTTAAACAAATTTTTGGTCTCTAAAGTTCAGCGACGTAGTACCGAAACAACTTTAAGTGGGACAGCGTTAAGCGAGGACTTAATGTAATTACAACCTAGCCTAACCTAACATTCCTCAATTCTTAATCGATGTTTTGGTTTTGGTTGACTGCGTTGTTCATACTGTATTTCATATTTCTCTCAAACACACTACGTGCATCCAAAATGCACACTACAGTACATACTGCCCTGTTAACAGTAATGGCCATAAAATGTTGATGCTGATGATTCAACTTTTAAAATAAGAAAGATATATTTTATTGGCTAGGTTTCCTTAAATCTATTTGTCTGCCAGGCCAAGCTTTTTGTGAACAATATTGTGTGCAAATTGGAAGAAATATTAAAAAAAATATATATATATCTTAAAGGGCAGTTAAGGGATTATGTATATTAAATTCTGTACATTTATCTTATTCACAATGATGGACTGATTGTCATTTGTTTACGATTTCTTGAAATTTTAATTGTGGATAAACTATGGAAAATGTAAGATACAGTATATATTTTTTTAAATTTAGGCAGAAACTTTAAAGACACATAGTGAATTTTATCTATGATTTTTCTTTTAGTTCATTCAAAATACTTAATGGTCTATTATCCATTTTCATTTTGATTTTGTTTTGTAATTTTTTATGAGTAAACTTTGTTTGATTTTGAAAATGGGATAGTTTGTCAAATTTGGCAAGTGCTTTTCGAACATTCAAGAGATAAAGTTTATCAAATATTTTTAGTAACTTTGTCTCAGATTGGTAGTGGATGTGTACTGCTGTGAGTGCATGCCATATTTTATGTGGTTTTGTGTATAAAATGAATATCTTCCAGTTCTGAGATGCCCTTATATTCCCAGATGCACGAGAACTTGCCCGCCAAGAACTACACTCAGCTCTGCGTGAATCCTGCAGCCGGGGAGATGTGTCCGCGGCCAAAGCCATTTTGCGCGACTTGGGCGCTGAAGCACAGATCATCATCAATTCTGCACCTAATGGATCCAACACACTGCTCTTTAAGTATGGCTTTCAGATATTTTTGAAGAAAATGAGTTGGGTTAATGTAATTACAGTTTTCAGTGACCTACTCACCTTCTAAAAAGATGAATGAAGGAAACTCCAGTAGGCCTATTGGCCCATATTAAAACCTTGTTTAAACCCCAACCCACATAACTAATATATCTGTCAAACCTACATTTGAAGCTTCCCAATAACTTCAAAACAACTTCATATTCATGATGGTGTATGGTAACTTGTTTCACTCATCCACGACTCTATTTCTGAGCCAAAGTTTAGCTAATTCTCTTCTTAATCTAAATTTTTCTTATTTAAAACCATTGCTGCATGTTTGGTTCAGAATTTCAAGTTTCAGTACCTTAGTTATATCACCCTTATTTGACCCCATCTTCCATTTATACATTTCAATCATATTGCCCCTCACTATGTCTCTTAAGAGAATGTAAACTCAGTTTTCTTAGTCTGCTCCTACACTCATTGTTCCTAATGCCTGGAAAAAACTTTATCATCCTTTTCTGAATGCAATGCCAATGCTACCACCTTCAGCAGTCTCCTAGGGTGCAAACACTACAATATGATTTCAGTATCAAATCTTGCAATTTACAGAAAAATTTGAAATTGCATTGACTTAAGTTACACAACAAAAACAATAACGTATAATAAAATTCTTCAATAAGTATTAGTATTCATAATCATAAAGATTAGACCAAAAATTATTTAAATCCCATAATTCTGCCATGTAACTAACAAAGCTCTATTCCTGCGGTTGAGTCCGAACTCCCTTTATTATACAAGAAGATTTTGTATCACGTGAGTATCCTTTACTGTCGCTTTCAGTGTCTTCTGACAGTGCAACACAGGTGCCAGTGAGATTGATTGCCTCCAAAGCCTCCAAAAGATTATTCATTGTGACCTAATAATACAGTAATACAGGGTAATAATAATAATATTTAATGGTTTATTGATAAATACTTGTACAGCAAATTTAGAATTGACATAAGGGGTACCAGGTACAGTCAGCCAAAGATACACCGACCCCACCCTGGATCTTGTGTTACAATTTTACCTGGCAATACTTGGTAAAGGAAGGCTGTACGTAAAGGTGATTGTGATTGGTGGATCTATTTTTGGCTGTATTGCTGTCAGGATAATTATTAAACAAACCAAAGGTAACATTTTTATAATAATAAACTATTCATCAATATTTTAGATCATGAGAAGTTTCCAATGTTCATATATTTGTTTCAATAACAAAGAAAATTTGATGTGAGAATCTCAGTAGTTGTAGTTAGTTGAAGTCATTAATATACCTGTAATTTTCTTCATGACAAATAAAAAATTGGAAACTTCTCATGACCTAAATAACAATGAATAGTTTATGATTATAAAATTCTACCTTGGTTGTTTAATAATTATCCTGATACAATACGCCAAATAGATCCACCAATCACAATCACCTTAAACAGCCTTCCTCAAGTATTGCCAGGTAAACTCAGAACACAAGAACCAGGTGGGGTGAAACTATTGAGTGAAACAAGGGAGTAGAATTGATAACCTAAAGCCTCTTCACTATGAGTTTGAAAAAGTCTTTGATGCACTAATTGAAATATCCAATGATACTACTTTACCCTCAAAGGATCATCTGACAGTTTGCACATACAGATTGTACCTCTCTAGTCCGGCATTCTGTGGTCCGGAAACTCCCGTGGTCCGGAACGATTTTAGTTTGTCCAATAGGTAGATAGGCAGTTTTTTTTTTTTACTTTCAATTATTATTATATATATTATTATTATATATATTATTATTATTATTATTACAGGAGTATTAAATGTCCTCAGGCCCTAATGTGGGTCAGTGACCTATGCAAGGGTGGGTTAACATTAAAAAAGTCAAAGGAAATTACATCCGGCAGTTCTCTCTCTCTCTGCTTGTCTATACAGAGTACAACATTTAACCCTTCAGTATATATGAGCAGTAAATAAGTATTTTTCATATTCTTATGTGTAATGAGATATAGTTACCGCGCACTTACATATTGCGTATCTCTTTTTTCTTTATCACATTTATACTTCTATTGTTCCGTTTATTAACATTAAATAACATTACTTAAAACAACCATATTAATTTTACTACAGCTACAACCAAGGTCTTATTTTCTTCAGTTTTATATGTAGAACCAGTCAGTCACTGGTTTTGTAATCAACGAATACAATGCTGTGTCATTTCCTCATGTGTTTTAATATTCTACATATTATTAATGAATTGTATTGCTCATTTTGCACACGTAACATTAATTCAATAAAAAAGACATTCAGTAATAAACAATAATGAATCTTTTGTACATAAGAGAAATGACGCTGTTTACACGATTATGCACGTCGTCTGCACGTTGGCGGGCCGTTCAAACCCGTCGAAATTCAAGTTTCCGCCGTCAAAATTTTTATTTATTTATTTTTTGTGTGTGTTCCAATAAAATACGTTAAGAATTAAAAACTCGCGAAATTTGAGAAGCTACTATACGACATTTAACCCTTCAATATGTCTTCAAAGAGACCATGATGCAGAGAAAGTGGTGCTAGTGCTTCCAGGCATAAGCACAAGTCACTATCTATCCAGGAAAAGGGTGAATTTCCATGGTCCGGCAATTTCCATGGTCCGGCACCGGTCAAGTCCCGAGGTTGCCGGACTAGAGAGGTACAACCTGTACTGGTGCAGAAGCTCTTGCACAGGGCATTTCCAAGTTCAAATTTGTGGTTTCACTCATTGTGTGGTGCAGGTATAATATTCTTTTTTTAATTAATCTGACGAGTAAACAACTGCAATCAAAGGTGTATGACATCTGCTCTCAAGCAGCTGGAACACACCAAGAATTTTCATTTTGATTGTAGGAGTGATAAGGGGTTTGAAGAGACACTGGTAGATGGTACAGTAGTATGGTAGCAAAGAAAACACAGGGTCAGAGAGGTAACTTAATTCCTGATGGTTTATCACAAAGGATTGAGCACAAAGGATACACTGTTAAATTATGCAGTACTTTTGTGGTGATGAAATGACCAACAATAAAAAGCATAAAGAAACTCAGCGACAAAAATGCACTTCTATTTCTGAATCTCATATTAGTCCAAATCTGTTTTCAAGTTTAGAAAAATCTCTTTATAAAGGCAAGACCATAAATTTAATAACTGGGTGTATGTGAGGCAGTTGGAGATTTACAATCAAGTCACTGGTGTAACATTGCTGTGAGTGGTTGTAACCATGGGTGTAGCTGTAGCTGTCACAGGCGAGCCGGTTGTGGGTGTCGCTGCTTCTGTAGAGTAAGTGGCCTACATAGAAGTTAGACACCTTCCAAGTAGCTGGGGGAGAGGATCACAGTGGATGGAGTTTGAATCAATACGTGCTGTGAATGCCTGGTTCAGCCGTGGAAGCACTTGCCTTGACAAGTGGTGACATCATCAGTGGTGACCTACAGATTGCCGCACATTCAAAATTTGTGCCCCTTTTTCCCATTAAATATATTAGAGGTGTGTGTGTGTGCGTGCATGCGTGTGCTGGGAGGGTTATCTAAGGATTGGGGAGGGGTCCAACCGTTATCTTGCGCAGGGCCCCTCAGAAGCTAGAGCCGGCTCTGCCATCACATCACCCCTATAGCATAGTGACCAAAACTGAACCGTATAATCCAAATTTTGTGGTCTCACATACAGTACCATTACTGTTTCTGTTACCAATACTCCAAGATATGAATATATTGCTGTCTAGGTTCTTGGTCCCTACTTATCGTTACCTCAAAATCTTTTTCACAATTGATTTCCCTAAACAGTAAGTCTCCATTGAACTAAAGGGTTAGGTTCCACTAAAACGCTTTCGTTAGGTGGATCACGTTTATCGAAACTATTTTCACATATAAATTAATGTAATAAGAGGAGGATGTACTAAGCTCTGTGATAGATTAATATACTGTACTGTACTAAGATCTGTGACAAAATAATTGCAACATATCAAAATACTGAAGATAAAAATAACAAAACGTTTAAAACATAAAGGTACATTAACAGAGTTGTCAATTTTTGTTTGTGGGAATATGGAAATGTGAGAAATGACAGCCATAGTAGAATGAGAGAGAGGCAGAATGTCAGTGTAATGCAGTGGGTGGGTGGGAGGAATGTGAAATTATGATTTAGGTGGTGATAATAGAGGTTGTGGTGGTGATGGTGGTGATCGTGCAGCTGGTGGTGAGAAAGCAGAAAGGTGGGGTTGACTTACCTCTCATAATACTGTAGTAGAACATTCTTTCGTTAATCTTCAAATGTGTAGTAAAAACTTGCTTTCGTTATAGTGTGGATTCGTTCAAAGGATTAACGTTCAATGAGGACTTACTGTATCTACTTCTTTGAACTTTACATTTTCCACGTATTTGAATACTTTCAAAGTACCAGTAGTCTAATTGAATGCTTTTAAGTGTTTTATGGTACTGTATTTGAAATACAGTCAACCCGCCCTTTACGCGGTCCCACATTCCGCGTTTCCACTTTTACGCGGTACCCTGCCGAAACCAGAATGCTCACATTCCGCGGTGCGTGTACCCCTTTACGCGGAGAGCGGCTGGCGAGCCGCGCCATTTTTGGATCCAAACCTCCTGCCATCTCTCCCGCCCTCTCCTGCCATCTGCCATGTTGTGTAAGCGGCGCGAACAGGGTGCGCACAAGTCAGTGATAGTGATAATTATAGTGAGGATATGGACTTATATGGACTTTGAGGGGTTTGACAAAGAGGCCCTGCAAGCCTCTGTGGTGGATAGTGATACAATTGATACAAGTGATACAGGTGAGGGCCATTAATCTGCCCTCTGCCTCGGAACCAACCCCCCATCCCCGTGTGCCCAGCCATCTTTTCCACTAATGTAAGTGTTAAAAAACCTAATAATATTGATATTTCTCTTAATTATTAATTGTGTGTGCATACCATCATAAAATTAAGAAGTTATTTTTAATACAACGTAGGTACGTATTGTGTCTGAAAAAGTGGAGTTTGGGGGTCAGCCCGGTCTCTATTTTAATTAATCCCATATGTTATGTTGTTCACTTTACGCGTTTCTCACTTTCCGCAGTACCCTGTGGGTTGAATTAACCGCGTAAAGTGAGGGTTCACTGTACTTGTATTTCCCAGAAAAGTAGGGGAATTAGTATTCGGAGTAGAACTGTAGTGGTACTAATAAGAGTGACAAGCCTTATCTAAAAAACTGATCAAGAATGAGACTATTTTGGGTCAATATTTTTGTAATAAAGAGTATAAGACTGATTAGTAACTTAAGTTACAGTTTCTAGTAGTGTAAATATTTAAATTATAATGTACAAGGTATCACACCCACTCACTGTACTGTACATAATGAAAAATATTTTTTTTTACTTCCTCTATTAAAGAATTAAGAATGTTGATTGTTTATGATGCATACTTCACTAGGGCCTGTGAGGAGGGTCAGCGGGAGATGGTGCGACTACTTCTGGACCACGGGGCAGATGGCAGGATCCACCCTGTCACAAAATACTCGCCACTCTATATTGCTTGCTATTATGGTCGCAGGGATATAGCTGAAATGCTGCTGAAAGTGAGTAGTACAGTAAATAGAGTCTAACCAGGGATAAAGAATATGAAGTAAATAAAGTAATATGGGAGGAGGTACTGTACTATACTGTACTGTACTGTACTGTACTGTACTGTACAGTACTGTATAGTGTTGAATATAGTGTAGGATTTTAATTTTGTAACTTTAACTTTTTGTAGTAAAGTTAAAAAAAAATATTAAAATTATTGGGTTGAAATCTTATAGATTAATATTTTCTTGTACAGTATTAGTATTTTAGGGTAACTTAGCATACTGTATTTTCTTTTAAATTTTAATTCAGGTGACAAATTTCAGATGTTTGATAATTTAGTATATATGTACAGTATTATGAAAAACAGTCATCATTCCCTTTTTATACCTTCCTTACAACCTGAAATGTAAAGTTATGGGCAGACTGAGAATAATATTTTTTTGTGTGTGGATCTTATGAGTATGATGATACGTATTTTCATAAATTTCAGTGGTAAAGAAAGTTATTTGATCTCATTCAGTAGCCCATCGCCAATCGCGGAGGTTAGGTTTCTGGAAAACCCTGTGGTTCGCAAATCCGCGGTTGATAAGCCTGAAGGCTTATGGGCAAGTGGGGTTTAGATTCCACAGCCACCGGTAACACTCGTCAAAGCCTAACTATAGTATTTCCATGCTAACCTGGCCCATAAGCCTCACCCCTTATGTGTGTGTGTAATAATAATGATAAATAATGGTCTAGTATCAAATACAGTACAGGTAGTATGTGTATGTGTGTACTGTACTGTATGTATGATGTTGTGATGCCTTATTTTAAAACCTAATTTATTTATGTATTTACTGGCATGTATTTAAGCTGATTATATGAATTTCCAGAAATTCCCAGCCTTGGTGAGTGTGTCTACTGTAGAGCGATGGCTACCACTACATGCCTGCATCATCAATGGTCATGCAGCTGTCTTAGAACTGCTACTCAAGTTCCCTTATCCAGATGATTCTCTCCGGAAATATTGGTCAGTAATTTTTTTATTTAAAATTTTTTATTATGCCTTGATTTTAAAATCAGTTTATCTCAAAAGTTTTATAAGAAGTAAGATTGTTAACTAATTAAATATTATGACTAAACTTGGAAAAATCACAAAACAGATTTCTTTCAATATTGCAAGGAGAAATAAGTTGTGAGACTACTGTATACAATATATGATTAATGCTTTGCATGTAAGATTGATTACATTTATTTGTAAGTATAATTATGTTTTGCTTGTATGCAGGGACAAGACAGGGCAGTATGAGTATGATATGGCTTTTGATATGAATATGAAGGATGTAACTGGACAGAGTGCATTGTACCTGGCATGTTATGTTGGGAATCAAAAGCTGGTTGATCTTCTCCTCAAGCACAGAGTGCAAGGAATTAAAGTGAAGGTAAGTATATAGTAAGTTCTAAAGGTTTATGGTTAATTTGGTCTCAAATATTCATAATTTATTGGTTATTTATAAAATTTATATTAGGTTTATATATTTTAGTAATAGTTTGTAATACTGTTTAGTTAGATATTCATGGACTACATTATGGTACTGCATTTGTCGTTTTGCAGTGGGATATTTTTTATATCAGCTAGATAGTATTAATGTCAGTGATTGAAGGAGGGTCTGTATTGCTTATGACTCTAGGCTACCTATGCTTTTGTGGGATAAGGTTTGTAGGATTGAAAGAAGAAAAAGCATGCACATTTTAGCATACTTTATATTTTATCTATTTAAAAACAATTTCAGACTAAAGAAGAACTAGAGAAGGAAAGACATCAAAAAGAACAGGACACTAGTAGTAATGACTCCAAATCAAGTAGCAGAGAAAACACAAAAACGAGTATCAATTCAAATACAGATCTAGCAGAGAAGAGTGATGAGGTGGCCAGCCCAACTAAACACCGTATTTCTGGGGGCATTCAAGCCCTGATGTCAAAGTTGAATCTTGTTAGAACAGAGAGCAACCAAAAAGATAACATGATTTCACCACTTGACATCGACATGTACTGTAATAGCAATACAGGTGAGCTTACAAACAAATCTAATTGTTTAGCTTACAAACAAATCTAATTGTTTCTCTAGGGCAATGCAATCTAATTAATGTACTATGTGAAAAACTCATTTAGCATACCTGTAGTATGTTTCAGTGTTTATAAGTAATTGTTTGTTCATCATTTGATATGCTTTCATACTGCCTCACATTTTATACAAATTTTTTAACAAGATTTTGCCTATGTATATCAGATTATTTATTTGATACAGTACTCAGTTACAAGCAGCTCTCTAATACTATATACCTATTGCAGTACAGTATTGGAAAAAAGGTTTCTGGTGTACTTTACAAAAAGTTCTCTGACTCTTTTACTTTCATTAAAAAAAAAAAAAGTTTATAGTGTGGAATGGAGTACTGGGTATGTAAATTTAGCCACAGTAGAACCTTGATAAATTGGACTAATTGGGGCATACCCCAGTCCAAAAAATGCGAAAGTCCGAGAAAAGCGAATATAAGGGGCAGGGAGGGGGGGGGGGGATAACACCTCTTATCTGAACTGTTTAAAGAAAATCAGTTGTTATGTTATTACTGCACTTCAACAATTAAGGTCTTTAAGTGTATAACAAGGTTATTAAAAGAATATCACATCAACAATGAAAAAAAATATGGAACAGAACTCTCTGGGTTGAAAATCAGACATGTCTGGTTGTCTCCGAGATGATTGTTATTTACTGTCAAGTATTATTTGTAAGTAACCACAGAATTTGTCTTATGAATACAGAGAAAACTGTATACTGTACAGTACTATAAAGATAAAAATAAGAACAAATAAGTGTAGGGGTATATTGTGTGTGGAAGACGACTGTTTATCTGGGAGCAGTTGGCATAGGGGATGGGGGGTAGCTCGGGTGGGTACTCCCTCCCCCAAGATTCCTTTAGCACTTCTTTATGCAATTCCTCCACAATTCTCGTATAGTAATTTAGGTTCATTTGGTACCAGGTTGATAAAATATTATCCTCAAAGAATCAACTTTCCTGATAAAGACTCCCACACTGAACACCATGAGTCATTGTTTACAAAGAGCAAACAGCTGATCGGCTTACCACAATGTCTGTCTTCAACACTTAGTAATTTAGTACAGTACAGTTGTGTATTTATTATCACTTAATAAATACTATTGCAGTGTAATTATCACTACTTAATAAATACTATTATAGTGTATTTATCATCACTTAATAAGTTATATTGTAGTGTACAGTATTAGGCATCTGCATATATCCTGGTTTATTCATTAATCATTTGTCTAAGTACAAGTAGCCAAACTGAGTCATCAAATAACACTGTTGTAAGCCAGTCTACTGAAAGCTCACACGAACGCATCTTGAGTAAATAACCTTCTGATACAGCTTATCCTCGTATTTTTAAATCATATTACTGATTACATACAGTATTGTAGTGTTTCTCTATTACTGAAGATGGTACATTAATCATGATGAACCATAAACCATAAGAGGCCAATCATTTGAGAATATAATACTGAATTAATAAATAAATAAACCTGACAAATGTGGCACCACCTGATCAGCCCCAGCCTGCCTACAAACTCAAGTGTCTTAGTTTCCAGTAGGCCTATAGCAAATCTGATTAGACCACTGTACAGTATTCAGTAGGTGTGGCTCATTTCATCCTTAACCACCCCCCGCCCCTTCCTTTTTTCTTTTTTTAGTATTTATGGTGACCAGAGCATCTTGGAGTCCGAAAAAAGCGAGTTCCGATACATTGAAGTCCGATTTATCAAGGTTTTACTGTAGTGGTGGAAGTCTTTAGGAAAGATTAATTGTTTGAAAATATTTGTCATCACTAGATTGCATGTGTTCCAGAGAAAAATGACTTATTGCAAAACATTTTATGATGAGGAATTTTTCCCCGTAAGAATTAGTGTAATACAGTGGTCCCTCTGTTAACGAACACAATTTGTTCCAGAAGGTCGTTCGTTAACCTAAACCATTGTTTCAATGGGATTTTGGGTAATTGGTTCCACCTCACCGAAAATTACATACAAAGTAAAAATAAATGCAGTAAAGTACATTTACTTTGAGGTGTGTATGTAGAAGGCTCCTGGTTGATGATGATGATGATGGGAATTAGAAGTGGGGGTGGAGGAGAAGGGAGAAGAGAAGGAAGTGGGGGTGGAAGAGAAGTCACCCCATGCTTCATGCCATCATTTCACCCATAAAATTTTAAGTTCACTAGGTGTAATTCAAGATTATTTTCTTTAAATCAACACTGTACTGCACTATATATTTTCAATATGTAAAATAAGTTTCAGAATGACCAATAATTGTACTGTAAAAACGTAAAAATAGTTTATGTTCAAGAGAGCCACAAGCAAGATGTTACCTCCACTGACCAGAGATACAAACTGACACCTTTGTGGGTGAGTCAAGTGGCTGATTGGCGCACCAAAAAGTAGTTTCCTGTACTGCAATTATGTTAAATAAGTGTTAAAGTGACTAAAAATAATTATATAAAACTTGGAAAATTATTGAATAGTACAACCTTCTTGATATTCACTCAAATGGGAACGAATTTAAGCCCTAGAACCGATTACTGTATTGGTGGACAAATATTCCAGCTGGTGAGCAAGCGAAAACATGTTGACATGATTTCGTAAAAATTTAGTTAACCGAATTTTTTTTCGTTAACCGAATTGAAGATTCTTCTGGAAGGTAATTCGTTAACCGAAATTTTGTTAACCGAGGGATCGCTGTAATAATAATAATGAAATAATAAAAATTAGGGGTATATGCATTCCAACATGTAAAATAATACCCCTTGAAAGCTCAGCAAACAGCTTACAATGGGGTTATTATAACATACTTCACTGGATAGTACAGGCAGTCCCCGACTTACGACAGGGTTAGGGACCCAAATCCAGGTCATAAGTTGAAAATGCGAAAATAATACATAGAAAATCTAAAATGGGTGTCTCTTTTTTCTTCTCAGCACCACAAAACTCTCACTTTTAAGCTTGCCAGCCATTTTAAAGGGAATTACAAAAAAAAAAATTTTCAATACACAGCGCAATCACTAACATCGGGACTCGAAAATACGTAATTTGAAAATTTTTTGGTATGACTGGGGCGGTCATATGTCCGGGTGGTCGTAAGTCGAGTAGGTTGTAAGTCGAGGAGTACTTGCTATATGATTTGGAAATACATTCCTAATAACATTATTTTTTATCTTTGAGTGATACATGATTGCTCGATTTGGGAATATGCAGGCACATAATACACTACAATATTATTTACTAAATGTTTAAGATTGTTGTTGTGGTAAGCACCAACCATCTTGAGCAGTGACAGCAGAGGTACATGAGAGAAGGAGAGCATTGGCAACAGTGCTCAAAGGGAGGGCAAGGACAGTCAACTGTTCCTGCTTTGTGAACAAGTACCGGGAATTTAATACAACGCAATAACTCATCTGGGATTGGGTGTGGATTTTTTCAGGAACATTGATTATTTTACGATAATATACAGTGGTCCCTCGGTTAACGAACACAATTCGTTCCAGAAGGTCGTTCGTTAACCAAAAAATTTGTTAACCGAATCCATTGTTTCAATGGGATATTGGGTAATTGGTTCCAGCTCACCGAAAAGTACATATAAAGAAAAAAAATGCAGTAACGTGTATGTAGAAGGCTCTTGGTTGATGATGAGAATTAGAAGTGGGGGTGGAGGAGAAGGGAGAAAAGTAGGAAGTGGTATGGAGGAAACATCACCTTTGGACCCATGCTTCATGCCTCATTTCACCAATAAAATTTTAAGTTCACTAGATGTAATTCAAGATTATTTTCATTAAATCAACACTGCACTATATATTATCAATATGTTAACTAAAGTTCAGAATGACCAATAATTTCAATGAAAAATGCAAAAATATTCAAGACACCAACAAAATCGGTGCTTTCTCCACAGAAAACAAAGCCAGACTGATGCCTGGTGAACGACCCACGCATCTGATGGGCGCACAACAAACTAGTTCCCTGTACTGCACATATTATCAATATGTTAAATAAATGTTAAAATTACTAATAATTTTAATATAAAACATTCAAAAATATTAAAATGCTGAAATTTATTGATATTTAATCCATTGGAAACGAATTTAAACTTAGAACAGATTACTGAATTGGCAGAATGGGCCATCAGCTGAATCTCACAACAACAAACTAGTATGTTAGTTCCCTCAATCACTATGTCTTTCAAGGATAACGATTTATATTTTAAAATAAGTAGGATTTTTTATACTGTATTATTAGTCATGGTGCCTTCCTCATGCCAGAGTTTTGGCAACTTTGGTCCTCCCCAACAAATAGTTTTGGACAATATCTGATCATCTCACTTTTGTCCTAATTTTGAAGAACCAAGTACACTATTAACATTCCAGAATTATGTATCCACAGAGACAGCACTCCATATTGCAGTCAAGAATAAACATCACAGCATTGTGTCAATGTTGTTAGCAGCAGGAGCAAACCCTAACTTGAGGGTCTATCTTCCTGATGATGAGATGGCCAGACTAGCTGAGGATGAGTATATTTTCACAGGTGAATTTACATTGTCTTTATTTGAAAAAAGTTGACTACACTAATTTGTGATATATTAAATTGCAGTACTTGTCGCACTTGAAATGTCAGTTAGTTGTACAGTATAATATTGACTTGATACACACTCTGGTAAACCACTTACTTCTTTGGTTTATGAGTACTTTATCACAGTTAAGTAAGTTTAAGTCAATTTGTTTATGGAGTAGCAAACAATTTTAAATATTAAGTGAAAAACAATATATATATACAGTTGTACCCCGCTTTACGCGGTTTCACATTACGCGATTTCTCATATACGCGGTGCCTCCCCAGAACCGAACTTTCACTTTACGCGGTTCATCTACCTATATACGCGAGAAGTATATATATTTTTTTTATTTAGCTCATAAAATTCATACAAATTACCCGGCCAGAATATAATTTACATTGCTGGAATTCTTACAATTTGATGATCATTTTGAATATAAACATCATAGATTTTGCATTAGACATACAAATTTTAGATGTAATGTTTACTCTGAGTAAATATGTTATCTTTTGTGCAAAATATATGACATTTATATTGAAAATATTCCTGGTCTTACAAGGAATCCAGCAATGTCAATTATATTATCCTAACTTTAGTCTGAGGTATTATTTATTACTAAAAAGGTAAATATTCTGGTTTTCCCACACATTTATCTGGTAGGGAGGGTTGGTGGGGGGTGGGGGGGAGGGAGGGACCGACCAACCATCTGGCACGGTGTGAAGAATATTTTTTTTTTTAACTGAAGATATTTGTTTTAGCTCATAAAATTCATACAAATTACCCAGCCAGAATATAATTTACATTGCTGGAATTCTTACAATTTGATGATCGTTTTGAATATAAACATCATAGATTTTGCATTAGACATACAAATTTTAGATGTAATGTTTACTCTGAGTAAATATGTTATCTTTTGTGCAAAATATATGACATTTATATTCAAAATAATCCTAGTCTTACAAGGAATCCAACAATGTCAATTATATTATCCTAACTTTAGTCTGAGGTATTATTTGTTACTAAAAGTTAAAATTAGTTTTTTCACCCAACATTTCTCTGGTAGGGAGGGAAGGTGGGGGGTGGGGGGGAGGGTTGGGACCGACCGACCATCTGGCACGGTTGGAAGAGGGGGGGAGGCAAGTTGGGGTACTTTGATGGACAGATAGTGTCGTGAAGAATATTTTTTTTTTATTAACTGAAGATATTTGTTTTAGCTCTTAAAATTCATACAAATTACTGGACCAGAATATAATTTACATTGCTGGAATTCTTATAATATGATGATCATTTTGAATATAAACATCATGGATTTTGCATTAAACATACAAATTTTAGATCTAATGTAATAATTTGGTTTACACAAAGCAAGTATTTTATCTTTTGTGCAAAATATATGAAGTTTACATTCAAAATATTCCCTGACCTGCAAGGAATCCAGAAATGTCAATTATATTATCCTAACTTTAGTCTGAGGTATTATTTATTACTAAACGTTAAAATCTAGTGTTTCACCCAATCATTTCTCAGAGAGGTAGGGGCCAGTGAGCTAGGAAGGGGAGGGGGATTTGAGTCTATTATTTGAATGGATAACCTGGTACTTTTTAATACATCAGAGTATACTTTTACATAGATAGGTCAGAAAAAGGAGTTTGGTCGGCCAGTTTTATTGAATTAATCCCATATGTTCTGTTGTTCCATTTACGCTGATTTCAGTTCAATCAAATCATACCACTGTATATACATATATATACACAGTGAACCTCACTTTACGCGGTTAATTCAACCCGTACGCATAAAGTGAAAGCGGCGTGGTAATTAACATAACATATGGGATTATTCAAACAGAGACAGACCCCAAACTCTCCCTTTCTCTGCGATTTTACTAAAAATAACATCTTAATATGATGGTATTCACCACATAATATAGAAAGGAACAGTCAATAAACTGAAGGTTAGGTTAGAAAAAAAACAAGGTTGGGTTTTTACTTACGTTAGTAGAAAGAGAGATAGGTCGGCGTCTGGGAATGGAGGCTGGTTCCGGCGCGGGGCAGCCTGGCTGGGTGAGTCACCATCACTGTCATCCACACTTGTCAGGGCCTCCCTGACAAATCCCTCGAAGTCATCATCACTGTCTCTCTCTGTCACCCTGCTCACTGACAGGCTAGCTGTGGTAGGTTGCAGGCGAAGAACTCTGCTATGCTTTGCTGGCGGCTGGTGTTTATGTTGTCGTGATAAGCCTTGATGTAGGGTTCCATGGTCTGCAACAGCTGGGTGATGAAGATTTCGCCTGTTTGCGTCAGGGTGGAAATGGGAAAGGAGGAGCTTGGCTTTCTCGTCCTTTCGATGGCACCCTAACATTATATGGGATAAGCGCCATTCTTCTTGGGATGATGCTACCTGCCTCTTCACTGGCGTCATCATCATCTACCATCTGGTGGTAAAGTCACATCAGGATCATATCCTCCAGGATACCGTGGTTGGTGGTCTCGGAGAAGCCTGCAGCTGTAACACTCTGCATAGCTTCTCGGCGGAATACTTAACACTGCAACAGTCTGAACCTCACGATGCTGAATTGACTCTGCCTAACGGCCGGAATGCCTTGCAACCTGTCTCCATGCGTGGCGAACAGTTGCTTTACAGGCAGCTGATCCCGTACTTGCCGCAAGTCCACAGCTTTCTTGGCGTTAGATATTCTCCAGGGGTGTTTTAAAAAGTGCTTCTTGCTCTGTCAACTGTTGATCCTCGTCGTCTTCCTCTTGCTATCGATTGTTGGTGTCACTCAGGTTACACAACTCTTCCCTGGTGTTAGTGTAGTCGTTCAGGAGCTTGAATTTTTAGTAGAGAATGCAGCTTTTTTACATTACAGATTAACT